GCATATTTTGAGGCTACAATTCAGACTAATTGGTTGCAGAACTTTATTTCAGGGCTTGGAATTGTCGACAGTATTGCCAAGCCGCTGAAAATGTAATTTGATAATTCTGCAGCAGTATTTTTTAAGAATGACAAGTACTCTAAGGGTGCTAAGCATATGAAATTAAAGTACTTTGTCGTGAAGGAAAAAGTTCAGAAACAAAGAATGTCAATAGAACATATTAGCACAAATCTTATGATGACCCTTTAACAAAGGGATTACTGCCCAAAACATTTATTGAGCATGTTAAAAATATGGGCATTATTGTTACTAATGATTGTTGAGTATTATGTTTATTTGATATTAAGTGATTGACATTTTGAGCTCATTAATGATATGTTTCTGAGTACCTGTTTTCTATGGTTTTATGCATATTTGTGTTAGAGTAATGTAAACAGGTGTTATCTTGAATAAAGATATAATGTTGGACCAATTATGTGCTCCTTATTAACGATCATATTAAGAAGAAGACTCGTTTGTAGTACATGGAAGGGACTATGTCGATTAAACTGATGTACAACCGCCATGACTCAAATTAGTTCATATTTTTAAATATGAAATTATGATGAACCCAATGTATAAAATGATTTAGCCATTTTAATGCGCATTATGTTAATTTAATTAATTTATTTATTTGTCCGTTGTGAGAAATGTCACATGAGTCAAGTGGGAGAATGTAAGATAATTATGTCTCATGTGGGAAATATGTAATATATAAAGGGACTAATAAATAAATAATTAAATAATTAAAGACTAAATCATAAATGGGTTTAATGGAGCATTTATGAGAATAATTGTTATTTGATGGAAATAACAATCTTTAGGGATTATAAATATTCACTAATGTGAGACAAGGTCCACACCCCTGACAGAAAGTATTCTCTCAAACCCTAGCCATCACGAAAGATAGAGAGAGTAGAAAAGAAAAGTCAAAGGGAGTGAAATCTTGGTTCTCTTCTCGAAGAAGATCAAAGCACTCTAAGGATCAAAGGAGTTTTCTACTATGGAGAAAGATCAAAACACTCTAAGGATCAAATGAGTTTTCTACTATGGAGAAAGGTACACACTTTCTTATTATTATGTGAGCATCATGAATTTCAAAGATCCTTTAATTTTCTATAAAATAATGATGTACTAGAAAATTTATAAAACTTACAGATTCCTCTTAAGTTTAAGGATATACCTCACACCTTGCAATACCTTGCACATTGTTAGTTTTTTTTTTCTTTTGCCAAGAAGCACTACTCCACTTTTTTTGACTTCCAAAGTCCCAAAGAAATCTTTCACAAGACACATGTGGTAGGTACATCCAAAATTCATAGCCCAATTCCTTTGTGTTTTTGATATTGATGCCACCAGCACCTTTGCACTCTCATAATCATATGAAATAAAAGCAACATCCAAAGAATCCATAAAGCTTTTGGATTCTTTGTCTCCTTTCTCAAGACATTCTTTCCTATAATGACTAGTCCTACGATAGTTGTAACATTTAGACTTAAAATTGGTGTTGCTCTTTCATTTTTATGTAACTTCTTTCCGTTTGGTCCTTTCTTCTCACCCTCCCTCTTTGAGATGTTTAAGCCTTCACTATTATCCTTTGTCTTCAACTCTTGTTTCTTTTGAAGTTCCTTAGTCCAAATCAAGGTTTAAACCTTATCCAAGGTAATGACTTGATCTTTGTCATACAGAATAGCATCCTTGAAATGCTTAAAGGATTTCAGTAAAAAGTTGAGTAAAAGCAAAGATTTATCCTCATCTTCAAACATTACCTCAATGTTTTCCAAGTCATCAAGAATCTTGTTAAAATTTTCAAGATGTTCTTGAGTAGATCTTGCTTCTCTCATCTTGAAAGAGTAAAGTTGTTTCAAACATAATCGATTTGTCAAAGACTTTGTCATGTATAAAAATTCCAGTTTGATCCATATGGCAACAACTTTTTTTCTCTTGAAACCTCCCTGAAGGCTATATCACCAAGACACAAGATGATAATACTTAATGCCTTATCAATTATCTCGCTCTTCTCTTTCTATGATAATGATCTATACATTTTTGTCTCACTCTTCAAAGCTTCTGTAACTCCCTGTTGCACCAAGATAATTTCCATCTTTATCTTGCATATTCCAAAGTTATTGTTCCCCTAAAACTTCTCGATATAGTATTTGATTATTCCCATGATTCAACCTTTCTTTTTCTTTCTTTCTTTCTTCGCATAAACAATGTCACTTGTTAGTTTTAGAACAAGAAAGAAAGCAAACAAGAATATACCTCTATGCAAGAACAAATAAAAAATTATAGAAACGAGAATACCAACAAGAACACAAAACATAAACAAAAAAAATGCAATAACAAACAAAAAAGATTAAGTGAAGAGAACATAACAAATTTACGTGGTTCAATCAATTTGGCCTACATCCATAGAAGAGGGCAAATTTTACTATTTAAAAATAAAATCAAGTCTTTACAATAAAATGACCTCTTACTCTTCTTAAAAATCCCTTAATCTTTCTAACAAGTATTTTTTCCTCTTAAAGTATCTTCTTCATAACTTCTATACATACTTTCTCATTCTTTAGTATTTACACTTAGCACTTTACCCTCATGCTCTCTCACACTCACTTACAAAAGACTCAAACAAATATATATTAGGATTCAACACATTATGATTAGGTCTTATAAAACAAAACATATTAAATTTATCAAATTAATGACGATAAATTATATATAGCTTGAACTTATCAAACAAATGAAGCCACACCAAATATATAATATTGTACAAATAAAAAACCATACAAAATATACGAATAATATATTAAATTTTTGAGATATAATCAATATCAATAAATTCATTATATAAAATAAATTTTGATTAGATGAAAATATAGATCGATCGACATATTATTTTCCCTTTATAATTTTTGGAGAAAAAAAAGTTAGAGAAATTTCGTATTTATCATGTTTATAATTTTTTTAATGATAATTCTAACTTATAAATTACCGGTTCAAGTGTGAAATTTTTACGTAAATAATATTTTTTAAAAGAAAAATTACAAAAATGACGCCTATGCAACTTTATTTACAGGAATAGACCTGTTTACTGTTCATGCTCGGAATTCGGTTCCCTGGGAACCGAATTTTGAGCTTCAAACTTTTTTTTTTCTTCTCAGAATTCGGTTCCCGGAGAACCGAATTTCGAGTTATTTTAATTTTTTTTTCTTTTTTTTTTTTCGTGTTTCTAGCCCATTTTGGGCAAATGTTGGAAGTGGAACGGCCCGTTCTGAAAGCAGAACGAGCCGTTCTGCTTAAAGACCCAGAGTCTTTTTTTTTTAAATTAAAACGGGCCAAGAACGGCCCGTTCAAAAATAGAAATTTTAACATTTTTTTGAATCTGGAACGGCCTTGGAATGGCCCGTTCCGGAAGACATTTTCAGGAAGTAGAACGTGGTTTGGAACGGCCCGTTCTGGGCAAACAGTAAAAATGCTACAATTTAATCCTATAATTACTCTTATTTCTTCCTTTTCAAAACTTTTAGTGTTTTAGTCTTTAATTTTTATTCCAAAGTAATTAATGTTTTATAAATTTCAAATCTCAATAATTTCAAGTCGCAAAATATAGTATAAATATTAATTGAGATTATTTTAAACTATGGTTGACGGACGAGAAATTTTCCTATCAGAGAGAACACTTGGACGGTGAAGTGTGATAATTTGACCCTTAATTTTTTAAATTTAATTTATAACAAAATATATTATTTTAATAAAATTGATTGAATAGTTAAAATTTTATCCGATAATTATATTGTTGGAGAGAATATATTCCCTATAGTTCAGGGATAATTGTACGTTTTAAGCGTAAGATATTATCTTAAGTGGTTGTCTAAATATATTATTTATAACTGATATTAAATGTTTCTTAACTTCTAAGCATTAATATTAAATATTATTTCACTCATCTTAAACTTTTGGCCATTTTAACATTTTTTTATTTATAAAAAAATATCATTAGAATTTTACAGTCTAATTAATATCTTTTTACTCAATTATACTCCTATCTAATAAACATTTTGTTCATCAACTATTCACGTTTTTTTTACAAAAAAAAGAAGATAATAAAGTTAAAATAATGAGATATTAAGCAATAAATTTTTAGTCCTCATTCACATTCATCGGATATTTCTTGATCCAAGTGAATTAACCTTAAAGGATTAAATTTGGGATGGAGTTATAGTTTTGAATTCTAATAGTAAATTTTAATTTTTAGTGTATTGTTAACATAAAAATTATAATAATATCAATTAATCAGGATTCGTGAAATATACAAGATAATTATTATGAATAGAATTTGTAAAAAGAAGGTAAAATACTTCTTTCACTGTTTGTTGAGAACGGGCCGTTCCAAAACCAGAACGGCCCGTTTCAAACACACGTTCTACTTCCTTAAACGTCTTCCGGAACGGCCGTTCTAAGGCCGTTCTAGATTCAAAAAGATGTCAAAATTTCTATTCTGGAACGGGCCGTTCTTGGCCCGTTTTAATTTTAAAAAAAAGACTTTGTGTCTTTAAGCAGAACGACCCGTTCTGCTTCCGGAACGGGTCGTTCCACTTCCAACATTTGCCCAAAATGGGCCAGAAACACGAAAAAAAGAAAAAAAATTAAAATAACTCGGAATTCGATTCCTCGAGAACCAAATTCTGAGAAGAAAAAAAAAAGTTTGAAGCTCAGTCGGTTACCGGGCAATCGAATTCCGAGCATGAACAGTAAACAGGTCTATTCCTGTAAATAAAGTTGTACAGGTGTCATTTTTGTAATTTTTCTTTTAAAAAATATTATTTACGTAAAAATTTCGTGAAGTGTTACTTTTTTTATTGTTTAATTTTTTTAATTATATATATATACAAATAATGATAAAATTATTATAACAAAAAAAAAACTTTATAAATGCTCTGCTCCAGTGTGTTCCCTTCATTTCGTTATCTTCTCCGTTTTGTTATAACCCTAGTTCGGAAGAACTCGCATCTTTCGCCCATTGTCTGAGTCTCACTCATTCTCTTCCTCTCTCACATTCATCCGTCGACACCTTCTCTCTTTTTTCTCCAAACCCTAATCTGGATTCCCCCATCCAGATTCTAATTTTCACGGTCTTCGCACACAGATCTCTAAGCGCTTTCGTTTTCATCGATTAAATATCAAAATTGGCTAATATTATTATTAACAACCTAAGGACAAGCAATCGTTTCCCCCGATTCTGGCGTTCGAGAGAAGTCGGTTTTTGAATTTTGTTTCGATTAAGTTACTTTTTATTCCTATTTTTATTTAAATCAATAAACGGCGAGGTTGAGCGTTAGAGTTGGAAATCATTAAGAAAATTACAGGTAATAGGGAAATCGCGTTGGTGATCTAAAATGGTGGGAGGTGGAAGCAGGAGGGATGAAGGTTCGTTGGTTTTGAACAACACGAACGTGTTTGCGGCGCTGGACACGCTCAAGAAGAAGAAGAAGTCCGATAAGGACCGCAAGACCAAGGGCTCCTCCACCAAATCCCAGGGCCAGTCCACCAAAACCGAGGCCCAAGTCTTTTGGGCCCCTGCCCCGTTGAACGCCAAATCTTGGGCCGACGTAGATGACGACGACGATTACTATGCCACCACGGCACCGCCCCAATCTGTGTGGAGCGTTCCCGAACCTCATCACAGTAAGGATGTCCAACATGGAAACTTTGAGGTTCGGGGATTATTATTATTATTATTATAATCGCTTTTTCACTGTATGGATAGATAACGTGATTCTTTTGAATTTGATTGCTTCCTATTACAGGATATACTGGTGTTTAGTTTGAACATTCTCTATTATTTTTGTGAGTTGATTCCATGTGAATCCCGTTTATACGTGTGTGTGGAATCCCGTTGAGAAGTAAGAAATCATGTATGTGATGTGGAAGTTATGACATTAGTAGTTTTTTTTTTGTTTTTTTTATTTTTTTATTTTTTAAGTAATAGTCTATTTGATACAAGTTTTGAAGTGTTTATTTACTAAAAAAATACTTTTTTATTTTGAGTAGAGAAATTGTACTTTGTATGTAACTCACTCTAAATGTGAAAAATAAAAATAAAAATCTGTAATGTGGAAGCAAACTTGTGGAAAAATCCCATTGAACATGCTTGTGTTTCTTCCATGTAAAGGTTTTGTTATAATTGTGTTTTCCTCGATAGAATACGTATACGAGGTAGGGTTTTGTCTTAGCATTTAGTTTGTCCCACACTCCTAGTGTTGTATATTGGCAAATTAGACATACTTTGAACTTTGGAATTTAATTGTAGCAAGGATTTTTATTTTTATTTTTTGATGTTAATGTCAGCAAGTAAGTATATAATATTCTGTGTATATATATGTTTGGATAGCATTGTTGTTGGTCAATGAGATGGCTAGAATGGTTTTGTGCTGTGGTTTGGTGCTTTGTAGTTGATGAGGTTTCTAATTACAGGATAGTGAGAGTGAGGAGGATATTTTGGATGAAGGGGATGATGAGGTGGAGGAAGAGCATGATCACGAACCAGAAGAATCTGTGAAATCTGAACCTGAGGTTAAGAAGGAAACTGATGTTTCTGTGCCGCCACCAAAGGAGGTAGAACGACAGCTCACCAAAAAAGAAAGGAAGAAGAAGGAACTTGCAGAGCTTGAGGCTCTTCTTGCTGATTTTGGTGTGGCACCGAAACAAAGTAACGATGGTCAAGAGGAGTCGCAAGGTAAATTCGTAGAACTGTGTGCCATGATATTCTAGATTATGGTTTTTCTCTTTTGTGAAGTTAGGTTCTTGTTAGGCCATGGCATGCTTTTCTTTTTCATTGATCTTTCTTGGGATGCAATATTTTCAGCTTTTGCTCGAAGATTTAAAGACTCGTTCCCTTCACTTTCTTCTTCTATGCATCAACAAGTTTTTCTATTTAAATGCAAAAGACAAATCATTTTATTCAAACCCCTTTTCTTTTTGTAATATATGTTTATGCGAGAAAATTTGAATTTTGTGTGCATGTCATGATGCAAGCAATCAAGGAAGGTAATTGTTGTTGAATCTTCTGCTCAAATAAGATATTGTGAAATTGCATTGCAGGTGCTCCTCAGGATAAGAAAGGTGTTGAGACTGATGGAGATGTTGAAAAGAAGGAAAATGCTAATGCAGAGTCCAAAACTTCCAAGAAGAAGAAGAAGAAGGATAAAGCTTCTAAGGAGGTGAAAGAATCTCAAGATCAACCCAACAGTTCAGAAACAAACAACGGGCCTGCTTTGGCCTCAGGCTCTGAAAATGTGGAGGTGGATAAATCTACTGTTGATGTAAAAGAGCGTCTTAAGAAAGTTGCTTCTACAAAGAAGAAGAAATCTAATAAAGAAATGGATGCTGCTGCAAGAGCTGCTGCTCAAGAGGCTGCTGCAAGAAGTGCAAGGCTTGCTGCTGCAAAGAAAAAAGAGAAGAACCATTATAACCAGCAACCTGTGCGGTAAAAGAACCCTGCTCCTTAACATCAATACAGGAATTTGTATTTCTTGTTCATATGATGATGCCGAATAAATAGTGGGCTTTAGGCTCTGGTGAGTGATGATGACTCTAGTCGTATTCCAGGTATGGGACCTGGGCAATTTTCATCTAGCTTTTTTGGAAATTAGTGTTGTTCAATTGTTCTGGACTTGCTATATTGGCACAGAAAATTTAGCTTTTAAATATTACCCGAACTACACAGCTGAGTATTGTAGTTCTCATATGTTCGACCTTGTGGCTGATGATCAATTAGTTCTGACTGAGAGAAGTTTATGTTTATCTATAGAAAATGCTGTTCGCATTTAAGGTTATTTTAAACCTTGTGAAATTGATCCAATTTGTTTGACGTCTATTTTAGTATTATTAGAGAATGAGTGCTATATCTATTTTATCAGATGTTTTCTGGTGTTACCATCAATCTACATCTTAATTAAGAATTTGTTTGAATACAAATTTAAAAGGATAGAGTTTTTCTACTAATTTTTTTTTAATAGAGAAATTCTGTATTTATAACTTTATCTAATAATATTATAAATCACATTTGAGATGTCAAAATTAGAATGCAGATATGCAAAAATCAAAAAACGAGATTAGGTCACATTAGATTAGATGGTGAAAATTATATAGATGGGTGATGATGTGTGTAGTGAACTAAGCTTTGGTAGAGTGGATGGATTTTTATCATCTTATGAAACCTAGATACTTAATACAACATTGGTATATAAAATGACACGAATATATGTTTAAGGATATATTTTTTTTTAAAATTAAAGATACGAAGCATTATGGATATGTTTAAAAATAACATAGAAAATTTTATATAAATACGAAATATTAGTAAAAAAAGGAGAGGAAAATATTGATTATTTCACTAATTCATAATTCATAATTGATAATTATGATGATCGTAATTTATAAAAAAGAAATTTTTGATCATAACAAACAAAAATATAGTTTCTATTTGTATTTTAGATAGAACTCAACAAGTTATGGTTTTTATAAATAGTCTACAATTCAAAAGCATCATTGCTAGTTGTTAAATTTAAAGTACTCTCTAGATGTGTGATGATGTGTGTAGTAAACTAAGCTATGGTAGAGTGGATGGATTATTATCATCTTATGAAACCTAGATACTTAATACAACATTGGTATATAATATGACACGAATATATGTTTAAAGATATATTTTTTTTTAAATTAAGGATATGAAGCATTATGCAGGTTTTTAACGAGACACCAATCAATGAAGTACAAATCACTCTCATTTAGCACTTTCCTCTTTACTATTTGCTCGAATATTAACTCAGAAGGCTTCCCTCCCGAGTCGTCACTCGGCCAAGGACGTGCCTTCGAATTTCTCTCACAAGGCTTCCCTCCCGAGTGACCCACTCGGCCAAGGATGTGCCTTCGGATTTCGCTCACAAGACTTCCCTCCCAAGTCGTCACTCGGCCAAGGATGTACCTTTGACCTTCTTGAAAAGGTTTCCCTCCCGAGTCGTCACTCGGCCAATGATGTACCTTCGATTTTCCTGATGTTTCCCTCCCGAGTTGTCACTCGGCCAAGGATGTACCTTTAGTTTCTGGAAAAGGTTTCCCTCCCGAGTCGTCACTTGGCCAAGGATGTACCTTCGGCTTTCTTGAAAAGGTTTCCCTCCCGAGTCGTCACTCGGCCAAGGATGTACCTTTGGTTTTCTGAAAAGGTTTCCCTCCCGAGTCGTCACTCGGCCAAGGATGTATCTTTGGTTTCCTGAAAAAGTTTCCCTCCTGAGTCGTCGCTCGGCCAAGGATGTACCTTTGGCTTTCTTGAAAAGGTTTCCCTCTCGAGTCGTCACTCGGCCAAGGATGTACCTTCGATTTTCCTGATAAGGTTTTCCTACCGAGTCGTCACTCGGCCAAGGATGTACCTTTGGCTTTCTTGAAAAGGTTTCCCTTTCGAGTCATCACTCGGCCAAGGATATACCTTTGGCTTCTTGAAAAGGTTTCCCTCCCGAGTCGTCACTCGGCCAAGGATGTACCCTTGGTTTCTTGAAAAGGTTTCCCTCTCGAGTCGTCACTCGGCCAAGGATGTACCTTCGGATTTCTTGAAAAGGTTTCCCTCCCGAGTCATCACTCGGCCAAGGATGTGCCTTCGAATTTCCTGATAAGGTTTTCCTCCCGAGTCGTCACTCAGCCAAGGATGTACCTTTGGCTTTCTTGTAAAGGTTTCCCTCCCAAGTCATCACTTGGCCAAGGATGTACCTTTTGCTTTCTTGAAAATGTTTCCCTCCCGAGTTGTCACTCGGCTAAGGAAGTACCTTCGGCTTTCCTGAAAAGGCTTCCCTCCCGAGTTGTCACTCGGCCAAGGATGTACCTTCAGTTTTCCTGAAAAGGTTTCCCTCCTAAGTCGTCACTCGGACAAGGATGTACCTTTGGTTTCTTGAAAAGGTTTTCCTCCCGAGTCGTCGCTCGGCCAAGGATGTACCTTTGGCTTTCTTGAAAAGGTTTCCCTCTCGAGTCGTCACTCGACCAAGGATGTACCTTCGATTTTCCTGATAAGGTTTCCCTCCCGAGTCGTCACTCGGCCAAGGATGTACCTTTGGCTTTCTTGAAAAGGTTTCCCTTCCAAGTCGTCACTCGGCCAAGGATGTACCTTCGACTTTCTTCAAAAGGTTTCCCTCCCGAGTCGTCACTCGGCCAAGGATGTACCTTCGATTTTCCTGATAAGGTTTCCCTCCCGAGTCGTCACTCGGCCAAGGATGTACCTTTGGCTTTCTTGAAAAGGTTTCCCTCCCGAGTCGTCACTCGGCCAAGGATGTACCTTCGATTTTCCTGATAAGGTTTCCCTCCCGAGTCGTCACTCGGCCAAGGATGTACCTTCGG